AATAGATGAATTCCCGCTTACAAACTCTGCGTGAAAAAGAAGAGGTGGGAAGTCTGGCAACTTCGCATAAAGAGAAAAAGCCCAAAAGGGATCTAATGTGGCACTAGAAAGGCCCACAAAGCCCAAGTGTCCAAAAGATATAAAAAAGGAATTGGATGTTTGGACAAGTTAACATTATTGGTCAACAAATCGTCCGTTAAACCAAAATTGGATGGAACTTGGATGGAGGGATGACATCATTTCATTTTCCAATAGTAGAGGGAGGACATGTGTAGTTAATTCATAGTAAAGGGAGGACATGAGGTGACGTGAAAGTAGAAGGTTTAAATTGAATTACTTTTTATAGTAGAGGGATGACAGTTGGCATTAGCCCATATAATTTTCGGTATTAGCAGTCATTATTATTATTTTTTTTTTTTGTTATAAGAGTAATGATTAGTAAGTTAGAATTGTTAGATGTTAACAACTGAGAATTCGATCTCCAAATCTTGTGAACAGTCCACCAGCCTCAAAGAGACGTGCAACCATTAAACCATTTGGTGGAGTTAAGCAGTCATACTTTTTGAACCAAGGGAACTAGGATACTGGGGAAGGGGAACGAACACCACAAGAGGTAGAACCCTGACTACCCTCCACCCAACCCAATCTAGTACTTGGGTTCTAATCAAGTTCAATACAGGTAGATGGATAAAAATCCGTTAAACTGCTTAACTCACTTGACTCAGACCCCAGGCATGCCTAGTTGTGAATAGGCTATACACAAGAAGAGGCATTTTAAATCAGAAAATCCGATATCGACATAGATAAATTAATTTGGATACCCTTCATCAGAGATTTCCCATACTATTAGGGGTGTTTTGTTGGGGCAAAGTTTCTCCCTAAATTTTTAAAAAAATTTTGTTTTGTAAAATTATTTACATATTTTAACACATTAATATTATAATAAATATATAATAAAAATGATATTCTAAGTATTTATTTTTCTTAACACAATTCTTAATTTGTATAATTTTTTTTTTTACCTTTTTTTTTTTCAATTTCCTTATAACTTTCTAAAATATTTGGTTCATTTAACAACTTTTTCTATTAATTTTTTTTCTATTAATTTTTTTATCAAACATAACAAAATTAATAATGTAACAAAATTTCAACAAACTTTTATAGCAACTTTTCTAATAAAAATTTTCTTAATAAAGTGACTTTTTAACTAAATAAATTATAAATGAAAAGATTTCAATAAAACCAAATTCTTATTTGTTTCATAGAACCAATTAACCAAAGACAGCCGACTAGGAGACTGAATAAAAATGAACAAAACATAGCTTGTGGCCTGGTAGGTCTATCTATGATTATACTGTGTCAATTACAGGTGTGGTCATTGTTATTATTATTATTATTGTTGTTAAGACTATTAAAATTTTAATTTTTTTAAATAATATTTGAAAATATCAATTAATTAATTAATTTTAATTTATTAATTAATAAATATAAATTATTAGTTAATAATTACAATAATTCATTATTTTTATCAATTAAATTAAATAAAATCAGCATTTTTAAAGATAATATTTTATAACTTTGGTGGCCATAATATTATTATTAGCCGCCATAACCAGACCCATCAATTACTTGACAATTAAAAGCCAAAATTTATAACCCAAAAGTTTAATTCACTAATAACAAATAGATTAAGTTCAAAATTCAAATTTTAGAATTAGTATCTAAAGAAATTAATTTTTTTAAATGTTTTAGATTAATATAGAAGGTATGCCCTTAAGATCATTTGAGAAGGTATTAATCTCAAAGTGTGCAAAAATTAATTTAAGGACACCCTAACAGTGAATAAAAAAAAACCAAAAATTTGAAGGTAAATCATAAAAGATATTATTACCATAGGAGATTGAGAATATTGTCCTAAAATTGGCAACAAATATTATTTGATTATGTCTCCTTATTTGTGGCAACCTACCCTTTTTTTTCCATTCAATCATCCATTTAAAATGGAAATATTGAACTCTGCGTTTCAAACCAAAATTCTTCTTTGTTATTTTATTTGACAAATTCTTTTTGTTGGGAATTTTGAACACCACAATCCCACACAAATGGAAGCAATAAAGAAATTGAGACAATAATTTAACGTGGTTCGACTTATACACCTTTCAACAAATCTACGTTCATGGGAAAGAGAGAAATAAATTCACTATGAAGAAAAATAGTACAATAATTTAGAAGCTCTCTCACTCAAAAAGCTCTCAACACTTTAGTTTCAATGCATAGAAGCTCCAAAATTCTCCTTAATACTCTCTCTTAATCTACACAAGGATCTCTCACAATTTTTCTCTTTTTTCTCTCTCACAAGAGCTCTCACTCAATTTCTCTTACTTTCTCCTACTCTTGCTTGCCCATTGCCTTTGCATGTATGGATAATTATAGTGAAAAATCCAACCACCCATGCACCATTTTTCTTTGCCTCGTTGCCACCCGTCCAAGATTTTCTTAATTTGCTTATTAAATGGGTCAACATGCAATCTTGAAAGATTTCAACAAAGCAATCTAGCCCATAATTGGCTTATAGGCCGGTGAAGCAAACTTCCACATGCAGTGGCGGAGCTAGGAATTTATCTTGGGGGGCCAATTGCAAAATTATAAAAGAAGAAAATTAAAATATCAAATTGCATCTTTAACTTAAAAACATTGAAGAAGATGGATTTCGCTAGAGTTATAACACACAAAAGGTGACTAACACTTTTATTATAAAAACTAAAATCACATGCCTTAAGTTTATAAAAATTACCTAAAATGTATGTGATTACTCATAGATTTTAGTTTCAAACAAAATCATTATTACAAAATATTAATATAAACTAACCAATAAAACTAAGATGTTTTAAAGATTTTTTTTTTGCACATTAAAGATTAATTGCACATTACGAAGGTTTACACTATTGTAAATCAAGATTGATAACTTAGTGGGTACTAGATACCAATTCAGTCAAATTTTTATTAGTGAAGATATTTTAAATAATTAACATACCAAATTTTAGTCATTTGTATTATGAAGATATGATTAGAGTTTATGATCCAATGCTATTAGATAATTTTCAATGAAATTAATTATTGCATTTGTACCCAAATTAATTCTAGTCATTTGCAGGGTGTAATCTTTAGTTAGGGGATAAAATAACCCACATGATACAATTCTTAATAACCAATTAAAATTATGATAACAATAAGAGATATTATAAAAATTAAAATTTTACCTTATTTATAAGTAGTGGTCTTCTACACTAAAAAAACAAAACTTACCATTCACCTATAACCAACTACATGTACAAAATAAAGAAAATTTTATCTTTTCCTTAAATATTATCAAAGAAAAATGAAAGGTGAAACATAATAATACAAAGTAATTTTAAATTTTTTTTGTAGAGATACTATATTAACCTTTAAAACCAAATTTAACTGAAATTAAAATGAAACCAAGAGATATAATCTAAGAATTTCTCAAATAATTAATAAATTCTTATTTTATATTTAAAATCTTAAGGTCCTATTTATATTTTTTAAAAATATAGGGGGCTAATTAAAATTTTTTCAAAAGACCAGGGGGGACCTGGTCCTTTCTGGCCTATATCTCTGGTCTATACGTGGCTCGGCCACTGCCCACATGGAAAGTCCATGTGTTCACATGCATGAGGTTGGACTCTCAACTAATGCTTTTTGATTCGAATAATTACAGCTCTTGGACGTGGACTCGAAGTTATATGGTTATAGCTAGGAGCTGTGCTTGTCGGGACTGAGAAATCGTAACCTCCTCTTATTTTTAGTTTTCTGTAGATAATGTCCAATGCGAATGCGGTGAGCAGTGACATAAGATTGCCTTTTTTTCTCCACAGAACTGCAAAGAAGCAGCCAAGCCGCAGCCTTCGAAGGGCCTCGTGACCTCGCTGACAGTCACCCAATAACAAGCAACCAACTCTGACAAGCCAACACGTGGCTACACAAGTTTTTCTGTACAAAACTTCACAGAGCCTACTGCTATACGTAAGGGCTGGGTAGGCAAGCGTTATCTCTTGTTCTGAATCCCTTGAAAAAATCATTCCAGGGTACGAAGAAATGGCTGGAAACCGTGCATTAGAGGAGGCAAAGGTTCCTTTGCTCAATGATTTAGCTTCTGCAACTAAGTTAAAGGCCGAGCAAGACAATGAAAATCAATCCCTTTCAAAAAGGGTGTGGATTGAATCCAAGAAGCTATGGCAGATTGTTGGACCTGCAATTTTCAGCCGCATCGCCTCCTATTCCATGCTTGTTATCACCCAAGCCTTTGCTGGTCACCTCGGTGACCTCGAGCTTGCTGCTATTTCTATAGCCAATAATGTCATCGTTGGTTTCGACTTCGGCCTTCTGGTAAGCAATTCTTAATGGTATGTTTGGATTGAGGGAGAAATCTGAAGAAAATCGTTTCCCTCCCCTTAATTTCCCTCGTTTCCAAACATATCTTGATCTTCGTTTTGTACTAATTAATTTGAAAGTCCCGTTACTGTTCTAATTAATTTGTTTGCTCCCCTCGTTTTATTAGCTGGGAATGGCGAGTGCATTGGAAACCTTATGTGGGCAGGCATTTGGGGCCAAGAAATACTACATGTTGGGTGTATACATGCAACGTTCATGGATTGTTCTCTTCCTCTGTTGTGTTCTGCTTTTGCCTCTGTATCTCTGCGCCTCACCCTTTCTTAAGCTCTTGGGTCAACCTAAAGACGTGGCCGAGCTATCTGGGGTTGTGGCTACATTGATGATACCACTCCACTTCAGCTTTGCTTTCCAGTTCCCTCTGCAGAGGTTCCTGCAGAGTCAGCTGAAGAATATTGTGATTGCATGGGTGTCCCTGTTGGCCCTCATAGTACATGTGTTCGTGAGCTGGTTGTTTGTCTACAGACTGCAGCTTGGAGTCGTAGGCACCGCCATCACTCTCAACTTTTCTTGGTGGATTTTGGTTTTTGGCCTCTTTGCATACACTGTCTGCGGTGGCTGTCCTCTTACATGGACCGGTTTCTCCATTGAAGCGTTTTCTGGTCTCTGGGAGTTCACCAAACTCTCTGCTGCTTCCGGTGTCATGCTCTGGTACCAATTGATAAAGAATCAATAATTGTCTTTGCTTTTTAGTCTTATGCAGTTACTGTTTTCTTTGCAATTTCAGCATATTAATTACCAGTTTTAAAATTTTGCAGTTTGGAGAATTGGTACTATAGAATATTGATATTGATGACAGGAAATCTCCAGAATGCAAAGATTGCCGTAGATGCTCTGTCTATATGGTAAGGAAATAGGCATATTTTGAGTAACACTGCATCTTTCTTTCAACATCAAAATGTTAATTAAAAAAAATGAATTCTAGTTACGTTGTCTATATGTGCACGAACTCTTGATTATTGAATTTGGAACATTTGTAACCGGTCAGAGTCGTCAGCCTACCCCAGGGACAGCCACACTTTTGGATTAGGAAGCGAAATTTTAAAATTTCTCCTAAATAACAATCAATTCATGGTAACGTAACTTATAACAGTTTTTATATTAATAACTAATTTTATATGTTAATTTATCACTTATATCATATTTGTTAATTTTTAAATTAATTAGATATGTTTTATTGTTAACTACCTAAATAACTCACATGGTAATTCTAATAGAAATAAAAAAATTCTAATTCGAATCATATGATATATGAATGTAGTAGATTAAGAGATAAGAAAATGTTGTCTTCCATCATACAACCCAAGTTAAAGAAAAAAAATATTTTTTTATCATATTTAAATTATATATAATTTAATACCCCTAAATAAATAATAGAAAAATGCTTCTTGGCTAGACCAGTAGACCTGCAAAATATTAGGTGAAAAATACTCTATTATGCCATTTTAATAAACTTTAATATTAAGAAAAAATAAATTAACATATTTTTAAGGTGAGAATGAAAACTAGTTTAATTACACTTTTCTCATATAAAATATATAGTTTCTTTTTTCATATGTTAATAAATAATAAATTTACTTTAAATTTAGAATTTAAGATACATGTCTATAGAATATCAAATTTAACTATTGGTTAAATTGAATACAAATTATACAAAATGTTATAATTAGTGTAAATGATATCAAAGTTACACTAATATAACCCGATCTTAGGTATTTTGGAATTTTTTTTTTTTGCCCATATAAAATTATTTGTTTTAAAAATTGGTAAGGGAAGCCAATAATGTAAATAATTTAATAATATTTTCTTTCTATTTGAAATAAGAAAGTTTAAGTTTAAATCATATGATAGGCATGTAAGATATGTTAAGAGATACAAGAGAATTATTTTATATTATGTAATTTAAGATAAAAAAAAATTGGTGAGAGAAATGGTCACTTTACCTAAGTCTTAATTTTATTTTTTAAAACATTAGGTACTAAATATTTATTTATAGCTTTAAAATAATTCCTATAATTCAAATATTAAAAATAGATTTAATACTAAACAAAAATTAAGGTACCATATTAAACATTTTTCAAAAACTCATGGAGGCTGCTGCCCATCTTTCCCTGTAGTAACTCCGTCCCCAAACCCCTCTTCAACCTCTAATAATAATTTATTCTCCACCACTTAAAATAAAGACTTTTGATTGAATTTTTGTGTATCAATGGGTTGTCTGCTTTGTCTTTGTCAGCATGTCAATCAACGGATGGGAGATGATGATTCCTTTCGCATTTTTCGCAGGAACTGGGTAAGATCTCTACATATCTTCTCTTTTTATTTTACTTTTAAAAACCCATTTGGGTTTTTTCATTTTTCTATGGAGCTTCATCCCCAATTGGGCACATTTCTATGTCATATCCTGGAAATAGAAGGGTGTGGTCTAGATAAACTGGCCTTTACGACATCAATCTTTTTCTAGAGACATCAATCTTTTTCTAGAGACATCAAACTCCTTTTAGAACCGGAAGAGGATTGGCCTTTTCGCAGGCTTTGATAAGATAGTGAGGAATCAATAACTTTCAAGGCAAAGACATAACAACAACAAAAGAAAATAAAAAAGGCTAAAATTTCAAACTAAAATGTAGAAAAAGGGTCCACAACTCAACTACATTGAGGGTGATGTTTCTGCTATATATACACGGCAGGTAATTGAATTTGTTGTCGTGTGTGCCACAGATTCGTCTTGTTGTCATTATTTAGCATTATTGATAGAAATGTATGTAAGAATTCCACAGTGAATTCTAAAATAGTTAGTAAGACTTTAATAGAAAAAGGGTGGCCTATGTTGAAGAGTCAGTAATGGACATACAAATTAATTTACGAAGGGTCCCGATTGATGGCTCCATGTCCTGCCATAACCAGCAGTCCCTCTCAAACATGTTCATCTCTTCTTTCTGAATTTTCTTCCATTTCTTTATGGTTTAATAATAATAAACTTTTCGAGGCAAAGATTTTTATTCAGATCATAGGTATCTAGATCATGAAAAAATGAATTGTTTTGCTATTGTATTCGATCACAAGCAAAGGCCATGTGTTCTTTGTTCATTTTCGCTTCTTTATATATATATATATATATATAACAAAAGACTTGAATAAAGCCCAATTCAACATGGAATAGAATCTTGTTAATTTAATAATGCACATGATACAGAGTGAGGGTTGCAAATGAGCTTGGAGCTGGAAATGGGAGAGGAGCAAAGTTTGCCACTAAAGTTTCAGTGCTGACATCAGTTGTAATTGGCATTTTCTTCTGGCTGTTGATCTTGCTATTCCATGATCAGTTGGCGCTCATTTTTACTACAAGTAAACCAGTTCTGGAAGCTGTGAGCAAGCTCTCAATTCTCTTAGCCTTTACCGTTCTGCTCAACAGTGTTCAGCCAATTCTCTCTGGTACAGAATCAAATCTTAGAATAATTAACTTACCTTTTCTTCAATTAAAAAAATATTGTACAGTCCTAATTGCACAACTAAAACCAAATAAATGGGCCGTCCCATGAACACAAGGGCAGCGCCCTAATCTAATGATCCATGAACCGCAAAGCACCAAATGGATTGTCAATTGTGTTGGACTAACTTTGGTTTTTCTGTAGGAGTGGCTGTGGGATCAGGATGGCAGTCCTATGTAGCATACATAAACTTGGGTTGCTACTATCTGATTGGGGTTCCACTTGGATTTTTGATGGGATGGGTTTTCCACCAAGGAGTCATGGTAAGTCCTAAATTCAATTCAAGATCAAATCTTGATGAATATCTATTGTCTCTGCTATCTAAGAAATGGCTAAACATTTTGTTAGGGAATTTGGGCTGGAATGATATTTGGTGGGACAGCAATTCAAACATTGATATTGGCCATAATCACAATGAAATGTGATTGGGACAAGGAGGTATATAGCTTCCTCTTGAGTTCCAATATTTTCACTAGTGTTCTGTATCTATGCTTTCAAAATTATGTGAATTAACATTGTTTGGTGGGGAATTGTAGGCTGAAAAGGCATGTATGCACGTAAGGAAGTGGGAGCAGACAAGGTAGAACAGAGTAAGGAACTTGATGGCAAGAATGTTCATGACGTGTCAGGGCTGCTTCATACTGTTCAAATGAGAACAGTTTTAGGCTCCGAAGCCTTTTGATTTTGATTGATAATTTAACATTAAATGCACATATGCATAAGCATATCCCATGTTTTTATGCCATTTGATTGTAGAATGAAATTGCAACTGTGCTGTTAATTGTAAACCATACAATTACAGTCATTGTATTATGAAGTTGAAGAAGATTGGAGAATAAAAGCAGAACATTGTTGGGTTTTTTATTTTCTATTTCCAAGTTCCCTGGTCAAGGGACAACGCGCCAATTTCTCAAGAACTACAAGTTTTTTAGCATAAATACTAATTTTAGGTTCAACAGAAACTGCCTATACTCAAGAAATTATAGGTACTAGTACTACTGACCTTGGTAGGTTCTATTACCCAAAGATGATAAAAATGGCTTCTCCAATTTGGATATGAGTCGCCTTGGACCAAATCGGTTTCATGCCAAAGCAAAGTATGATTGACTTTTTTTTTTTCTTAATTTTAATTGCATAATAAAATATAACTATCATCATCTTTATACTTACAATTGAAATTCAAAATTTTTTATTTATATTAAAAAAAAATTATCATTAGCCCGTTTAAGCTATTGACAAAAGTATGATTGAATTCTTGAGTGCACTCAAATATGTACCTGGCATGTATAGGTTTGTAACTAGAAAATGAGTCAAAGATCCAACAACAAAATATTAGGCTTGTTTACATATTGGGCCGAATCATATTCGGTTTCCCAGGAATGGACCTTGAGCACTAATAACATATAAAAATTTGGGCATAAGAGTTTGAATATAATATTTATATTTAATTTAAAATTAATTAATAATTAGTGGAGAAAATTTTCTTATATTTTACCCATATTTCTCTTTATTATTTTATTAATGTGAAACTTTTTTACTTAATAAATTAAACAATTTATATAATTTAACTATAACAAAAAAAAATTGTTGTGTAGTTTATATAATATGTAAGTGGCATAAACAAATAAATGA